CAGCAAACTGACACAAGAACAGAAAATGAAACACCGCATATTCTCACTCATAGGTGGGTGATGAAAAATGAGAACACATGGACACAGAAAGGGGAGTACTAAACACTGGGGTCTATTGGGGGGAAAAGGGGAGGGCCAGTGGGAGGGGGAGGTGGGGAGGGATAGCCTGGGGAGAAATGCCAAATGTGGGTGAAGGGGAGAAGAAAAGCAAAGCACACTGCCATGTGTGTACCTACGCAACTGTCTCGCATGCTCTGCTCATGTACCCCAAAACCTATAATCAAATAAAAAATTAAAAAAAAAAAAAAGTAGTGGAAAAATATACATATATTTAACATTCTTTAATATTAGAGTGAGAAATAATCTTCTAATAATACCAAGCCAGAAATCATTAAAAAGATGAGAGATTTGAATACATTTTTTAAAAAGTAAAATTTTACATAGCAAAAACTACCAATAAAACACTAAAAATGAGTAACAAATTTCACATATGACAAGCAAAGGATAATGTCATATGTATGCATTGATATAAAGTTCTCACAAGACAAAAAGAAAAAGATTGACTATCTCAGAAGAAAAATATGCAGAAGACAAAAACAGGTTTTTCATAACAGGACTTTTGTTTTAAACAAATTATACGTTACATTGGTAAAATGGTGACAGTGTCTGTACTGGTGAAGGTTCACAGAAAGGGGCATTTTTACATGCAATTGATAAAAACTGGGTACATTTCCAGAGGGCAAGTTTTATCAATATTTAAAATATATATTACATTATAACTTTATGATGAGAGATATTTTCACTTTGATAATTTTTTAAAAAGGAAATAAAGAAACCCAGTTTTGTATTAACCAAGTTCATCTCTCTGATGCCATGCTCTAAATTGTCAATTTACACCCATCTCAACATCCTGTTTGGCCTTTTCTCCAGTAAACAATACTCCTACTCCTCCTCTAATCTCTGACCAGCCCCTGAGGCAAATACCTCTCCCACCTACTCTCTTCTTCCCTCTCTCAATAGACAAAACCTTGAGAACTTCGCTTTCGGCCCTGCTTTCTTCTCTCCTAGCTCCCAGGTTTTAGACCAAGATTGCACCTGCAATTCCAGCCACCAGTCACATGCACACTTTGAATTCTACTTCTATCCATTCACACTCATGTTTTCAAGTTCTCTCATTTTTCAGTAATATTGCATGGCTGCAAATTAACAGCACCATGTTGAGGAACAGCTACAAATTTTAAAAGCATCACAGGGTACTCGATATTCACCATTCCTTACTAGTGTTTTCTTTTGAGTACTAGGCTCAATCATCTAAGAAAGCTATGGAAAGGACTGGGAGAGAGTTTACCAATAGCCTAGAAGTTGATTTGAAGGTTACATATTATGGGTAAAGTGGAAATTGCCTTTGCCGAGAAAGAAAAGACTGATAAGACATAACATGGTTCTCAAAGCATATGAAAGACTGAACATGAATTGATAAGTCCCTTTTCTCCATCTCCAGTTAAAGGCTGAAGCGGGTAACTGGTCTAAGCTTCTGGCTACAAAAAGCAATCCCCACTTAACCCACAAACATTCCTAAAGAGTCCAGAAAGGCAAAGCAGACCATTTCCCTGCATTCATTACCATGGCTGGCAGGATCACACTGGCTTTGAAGCCTGATGTTATCTGCCATTTGATAACATCGACTATCTTGGTGAGGAGGTGAATGCTGACTGAATTACATTCCAGAAGATAGATGAATGGCAAATCTTATGTTATATATATTTTACCAACCAAAATACATGAAAACTGCCAGACACATACTAAGATGGGCAGGTTGTTAAGATAAGACTGTTTAAGGCATGTTTGGGATTGTACTTATGGATTGGCAATACAAAGTACCAAAAACACTAGGCTCCTGACGTGAGAGTCACCCCACAAAGAGAGCCACTGTGACCAAAAAAGATGGCAGGGATGACTCTCTTTGAAGGTCAAACACCAGTCAGGAGTTTCTAAAATTAGGAAAAATAATAAAAATGACTGCCATTTATGGAGCCCCTCCTTTCTACCAGGAACTGTGCCCCAAAGATGTCAATACGCTGTCATCTAACTCTCACATCAAACCCCATGAAGAGGTGTTGTTATTCCTATTCTTTATGGATGCAGATACCGGGGCTCAGAGAAGCACAATCTTATAACACAAATGATGATGCGAATCAAAGATTTGACAGGAGCTCTACCTAACTCCACAGTTTATTGTTTTAAACAAGAATTTGAGAAGAGCTCTACCTAACTCCACAGTCCATTGTTTTTCTACTACATGATTCTGATTTACATGCAGTTTAGCCTAACTCAGAGAGAGGACGGAGTAATCTCAGATTTCCCATTAATAAATTATCATTTTTGTGAATGTATCAGATGTAATCTTTCATCAACACATGACACTAACATCCTTCAGGATTAACCTCCAAATTCAGTTTCCTGAAGTAAAAAACAAAGTAACCTTTGCAAACAGTTTAGATCCAATTACTATTACAGAGAATTTTTCAGCACTCATATATGTATTAATGAATACATTGATAAAAAGTCCCAATGAATAATGCACATATTAATGTTCAATCAATCTCTCTTCATTGCACAGTCATTGCCTTGGCACCATGAAACTTGTGCTAACATTTATCGAGTACCTACTGCATACAAGTCACAGTCTGAGCACTGTGCAAGAATACTAAAAGATTAGAATCCATACTCCCTGCCTCGAGGAGCTTGTAATTTTAGTATCAGAGGCAAGATAAACACCCAAAGGACACTAAAGAACAAAGCTGACATACAAACATGCAAATTAACTAACATAATGCAAACACTTACGTGCTAAGGAAATAAAGAATGTATTTACCCAGCAAAGTTCTTGGAAGAAGTGTAGTTAGTACATTGTTTAGGTGGACAATAAATTGTGAAGATAAGAAACACCAAGACATCCTCAGATAATCAATAGAGACATATTCTTAGGTTCATTTTTAAATACTATCAAAATTATAATCTAGTAAAAAAGGTAGTTTACTAAGGAAAATAGTAATTAATATAATAAAGTGGTTATAATTTTTAAAACATTCTTATTAACATGGATACCAAGACTCCTTCCTTTTCTAGTCATCTTCATCTCTAACATCACCATGACTCAGTTTTTTTCAACCAGAATAGGGAGCTGGCTATACCAAGACAAAAACGATCATCATGAATACAGCCAACTCCTAAGCACATAACGACTATGCCAACAAAGTCACAGCCATACAGGAAAGACAAAATAAGGAAAGAAGAGTATCATAATGCTCACTAATGTATAAAGGTAAAGTATATTTTCTAAAAGCCAGAGATCATGATCGAAGGCACATGTTTCCACACATACAAGGAGCTTTCAGGTGGGTAAAGCACATAGACTGTCATGGCTGGTGTTATTATATTCATGATGATTTGTTGTAGGAGTCATGTTCCTGTTGCTTCAAATTAAATGCAAACACACAGTCCTTCAATCTGTATCCGACGCTTTGTTATGCTGCCCATGTTTTAATCAGATACAACGGTAATAACCTGAGTCAATGCAGACTCAATCTCCTCCTCCACGTGGAGACCCCTCCGTCATTCCAGAAGTATCCCTAGGCAGCTCTGAAATATGGAATCTTCACTCAATTTCTTGTCCCTCTTATTTTAATCCATTCAAAACTCCTCTGATAAAAGAGCACCTGCCAGACCTAAGACACTTTAGTCTGTCTTTGGGGAAACAAAATTGATTTTCTTCATTTTAACACAAGATATCCCTGGATAATAATATTGTGTCCAGTCATACCAATAAAAAAAAAATGTAGGCAACATTCTTTGCTGTACCAGAGGCTGAACAGTTTTGTGAAGTTCCTAAGTGGAGGGAAAAAAATCAGCCTCTTGCCGTTAGACCATAAGTTTCACAAGTGTAAGAGGAACTTTGACCAAGAGACTAAGTGCTGTGGTGCTTTCCATCTGCTCCCAATCAGCCACAGTGGCAGATCAGATGGGGTCATGGGTGAGGGTAGGGAGGGCACTGGGTGAGGGGCCTGCCCCACATTCTTCCTGCTTTCCACTCACCATATCCCTTCCCTTATCTTCCTGCCACACCTGAGCAAACAATCACTTTCTACCTTTAATCTTTTGACTTTAAGGTAAAGAATATCTAAGGGCAATTTCCAGTGAGAAAACTACAACAGAAAAAAACAACAGAACTTCGGGGGTCTTTAATCACCTAAACAAATTCGCTAATTTGTATAGGCTTCATAAAATTTCAGACATTTTAAATGATGTATTATACCTAAAGGGAGAAGATGAAATATTAAAACAGTAGCTTTTTGATACTTTTAAAAGACAACCATACCGAGGGCTACAACACATAACAACAATAAAAGCAGAGGTGCTCTGGCTGAAGAGTCTGAGCCTAGAGCCCCACTAGCTAAGCATCATTTGCACCAAATGCAACCCCACTTGAAACACCTCTTCTGTCAAACCCCATTTGTTAACCACTAACCTAGAGAAAAAAAAGATATCCAGAACATGCACACTGGCATTCAAAAATCTCCTCCAGTCCTGGCCATTGCCAGGAAGACTTCAAAATATGTCTCACGGCCTTCATAAGGAGAATGCAGCCTCTAACAATAATTCTGCTTTCATGTATCACATTGAATATTACCATTCACTGCATAGCCCAGAGTTTAAAAAGCATTCCACTTCTCAAATGTTCCCTGTCCCTTCTCATTCATTCACGTGTGTACTACATACATATATCATACAAGACATGCTATATAAATAGTTCCACAACACACTGTAAATACTAAGATGCATCATTTTCCATACTTTCTTAAGTTTTTTTTACTTAGGATATGTTTATTAGTTGACATCCTGAAAAACTTTTTTCAAGATGAAAAATGCAGTTCTGCTTCTCAAAGTCCAAATCTCCTTATATAAAAACAAAAATCATGTATTAACCACTGAGAACTAACCTGCAGACACGGGCTGGAAAATATAATTTCTGCCAAGAACGACACAGATATTGTGAATGATCTATCACTCTGACCCAATCAAGTTCATCCATTGACACTTCAATGAAGTATGAATAAGACCTGTGAATCAAAAGGAGAAAGCAGAAAAAAAAAAAATACCACATTAAAATAACAATACAAAGCTATACTGAATGAATGAGAAGGGACAGGGAACATTTGAGAAGTGAAATGCTTTTCAAACTCTGGGCTATGCAGTGAATGGTAATATTCAATGTGATACACTGAAAGCAGAATTATTGTTAGAGGCTGCATTCTCCTTATGAAGGCCATGAGACATATTTCTGGAGTCTTCCCTGGCAACGGCCAGGACCGGAGGAGATTTTTGAATGCCAGTGTGCGTGTTCTGATTATCTGGTTTTTCTCTACTTTAGTGATTAACAAATAAAATAAAATGTTAAAAGGTACAAAAAATACAGCATTAACTAATTACATTTTCTATACAGTCAAATTCTAATAACAAGAGAATGTTATCATAGCCTTCACCTACAATGCACTGAAATTATCTCTCAGGTTGTCATCTGCCTTCTCAAATCATGAGCTGCTTAAGAACAAAGGCCATCCTGTATTTATATTCACATCCCCAGGGTCCCACACAATGCTTGGCACATCAGTCAAGCAAGATATTGACTCCTTTTCAAACATGGTCAGGATGCCTCACCTATACCATATTTGAAGATAAATGAAGCCACGAGAGAGAGAAAGAACAGAAAATAGAGAAGCAGGAGGTATAACTTCTCTCTCTACCTTCCCTGGCCACCGTGTTTAGCCACCCCTCTAAGGAAGAAAGCCAACTTGAAATGGTTCCCCACAGAAGGCAGCTTATCTCCTGCTACCTCCCAGTCTCCTACCCTCCCCCACACACAAGCTACCTGCAAAAAAACAAAAAAAACAAAAAACATAAATGACACCAATCAAGAGATAATGCGTGGGTACAACTTAAAACTTGCCAGCTGATAATCTGGCAGTAATGAAAACAGCCTATCATCCTTCCCTAGTCAGCTACTCTGAGCCATTGCATGCAGGTCCCATCCTGAACAAATCTATATTCCCCTGTCATAAGCCAAATTTAAATTTGAGATGCAGTTATTACTTGTACTGTAATATCAACAGGAACAATCTTGGAAGATTTAGGTAACCATAAATGTCAGCCTGCAACCCACAGTTGTGACCAGAAAAGGTCAGCTTATTTTGTGTCATCCCCTCATTTTCTTTGCTGTCCCCTCACTCCCATTCATTTTATTGCTCAGTCTCAAACTGGTTATAACCTTTTATTGAACCTCTCTGGGTTATCAGTAACGCAGGATATAATTTTACAACATGTCAGAATCTTTTTGGCTTCAGATTCTGAATTTTTCACCTTTGCTTAGAATGATAACTACTTGTGTAAGGAAAGAACAGTTAGGTGGTAAAGCTAAATCCCCCATGAATGTAACGCACATACTAAAACAAAGTGGCCTATAAATATTTAACGTCACAGAAATGATGACAACCACTTTGTTTCAAACATACTAAACTTTTAATATTTTATAATAATTTCACTATTAAATGAGTGAAATATGTAAAGCTTTTAGAACAGTGTCTACCACATAATACGTAATGAAAGTACTGCAATATATGTATTATGATTATGCAGTTATTAATCAGAGACTCTTGGAAATGAGATATGTGGATTGGCTCCATTTTGCCAATTTAAAACATCAAATTATATCCAATAAGATACATATCAGAAAATATATTCTTAAAAGGAAACAGGAAAAGATAACCTGGGGAATCTCACACACCTATGCACATGGGAAATGCTGATTCACACACACTTCATAACACTTCCCCTCATACTTGGCTCAAATGGCCCAAAGGGCCAGCGTGGTGGCAGTAGTGCTAACAGAAGAAACACACTACCGTATTGTAAGATTTTCAGGGCATCAACACGATTACTATTTAAGCCCTTCATGCCCAGATCGAAAGAGGTATACCTGGAACACAGTTTCTGGGTATCCAGGGTTTAGGTTTATGGTAAACAACAATGCAATGAGAAAAACAGTTCAGTCCTTGTCACCCAAACTGCTCTGGTACTTTTGCCACTAAGGATGAACCCACAGGCCACAGTGGGTGGAAGCATCACAGTGGCTGGAAGAAAGGCAGAATCCTGAAGCCCCTGAGAAACTGAGTGAGTTCCCAAACTGGAGTTCTCTGAATTTTTTCACATTTTGAGGATAATACTTATCTATACACTAAAAGACAATGTTTCTTTTCACCATAGGGTAAAATGCACTTAAAAGGTTATAATAGCCAAAAGTAATGAATCAAGTAAATAATGTTAACTCATGGTAGAATACCAAGTAACTATTAAAAATACATTTTAGAGGAATTTTTTTAAAGGGTAGAATGTTTACAATGTATTAATTTAAAAGTAAAATTAGCTTTTTGTATGTCTAATCTTCATTTTATAAAACTATGTGCAGGTTTCTGTTTTGTGTGTATGTCCACGCATAACTGAAAAAAACACTAGGTAGATACATATGAAGATAATGGGTAACGAGATTACTAGCAATTTTTATTTTCTTCTACGTGCTTTTCTATATTTTCTACAGTTTCTAAAATAAATACATATTGTTTTTACAATAATTTAAAAAAAGCGTATTTCTTTTAAAGAAATATGCCCTTTAACTCTTTCCCCAAACTAACCTTCAAGAGATGGCAGAATGATCACAAAGAAATAAATCATCATATCTGTAAAACCAAAGCAGATGACCACAAAGTTAGGTCATCTCAGTCAAACGTAATGTCAGTTTCTCTCTAAATCATGCTAATCACTTACCGGCTATCTCGGTCCCACAGGAGTATCCGTATGTGATTGATAATGGATGGCTGACCTAGCTTAATCTCAATGCCGGAACGGCAATCATCATCAATTGGGTGCCTCGAAAATCCATGATCCAAATCATAATTTTGAGTATCACCATCTAATAAGGCCGATTTCAACTCCCCTTTTACAACCTGGGCTCCATATTTCATAGTTGCAATGTTTTCTTCTGGTACTACAGTTAAAAATAGGAAAAACCCAGGGTTAGTGACTATTTATTAAATTATTCTATATTTTTTGAAAAAAGATACAATTCTAGCATTCCAGTTTATTCTAGCATCTGCATTTAAGAACAGTACAGGCAAGTTTATGAGGATAGAAAATACAGAACATCTAGGAGGACTGAGACACCATTCAGAGGCCAGGTGCAGTGGCTTAGGCCTATAATCCCAGCACTTTGGGAGGCCGAGGCAGGTAGACTGTTTGAGCCCAGGAGTTTGAGAGCAGCCAGGGCAACATGGGAAGACCCTGTCCCTATTCACAACAAAACAAAACAGAACACTGCTTAGAGTTTAAATTTAATATTACAACCACAAAGTTCTTGAGACTAATGTTATTTTTCAAAAGTTAATAAAACTAGAAAAGGCATGTAATAGGACAAATAAATCAGCTCTGCTGAGTTCATTCTATTAGTAACTTTAATATCTACTAAATAAAAATAGCATCTAAGATGACCTGTTCCTGCCATCTGGACTGAGGACAATGTATAAAAGCAAAGCAAACAGGTCAGATATCTGATAAAACAACAGAAAAAGAAAGGTTCCAATATAGCGTAGCTATTAGTCATACATAAAAATGCTGACTCAATTAATCCAGCTTATAAAACAAGCTTGTCTAAAGGAAGATATATTTTTTCTTCACTTGAGAATTTTTAAAAATGAAAACTGATAATCTGTCATGAAAATCAGTATTATGGTTATTATTAAATCCCCTCCCTCACCAACATTACATTTATTAAGTACCAATTGTGCATGGGACTCTGAAGTCCTCTATGTAAATTATGCTTCACAGATGTGGAACCTATCTTCCAGGTACTAACATTCTAAAACTGACACTCTCCATGGAAAGACAAGAGGCTACAGAAAGATGTTAAGAGCTTGAAGAGGCAGAGATTAAACACTGACTCCATCTTCAGCCAGGTGCATCACTTTGGAGAAGTTTCCCTCTCTCAACTTCTATTTCTCAATAGGGCCATGTCTATCCACCAAGTGTTTCTGTTTAAGAATTAAATGAGATGACGTTTGTAAAGCATATTATGAGCTCTGCTCATACATATAAGCTTTTCAAAATATATAGCCATTACTATTAAGAAAACATATTAAAAAGCACATAATAAGAGAACTATGCAAATTTACAGACTGTAAAAAAAATGCCAGATTCTCACAGTACACATATATCTTGGCTGCATGATTTGAATAGGAAAAAGTGTGGGAGATAATCAGGTTCTTGGCAAAAAGATAGTAATTCATCATTGAGATTTCTTGAAAAATTGTTTTTTTTTAAATTTCAAATAAAGATGAGTAGAGAGTGGCACCAGAAGAGGACAATAAATTACAGCTGAAAAATGGAAGTTTAAAATGGAAGCAAAAGTCTGTGGCAACATAGCAAAAATACAGAAAGCATCCTAGTAACTTCTTACCATCAGAAGTTTAAGTGTTACCGATTTATAACTTTCTAAATTCTATTAGTGCGTGATAATCATCCATATTCTTCCTATTTAACAAATCTTCTACAATACATGATGTGCTAGATGCTGTTCTAAGCACTTAGCAAATATTAACTCCTTTGATTTATTCCTCATAATAATCCTTTGAGTACAATACCACTATCACATCCATTTCACAGATAAGAAGTGGAGGCAGAGAAAAATTAGACAGATTCACTTGCCCCAGGTCACAGAGCCAGCAAGTAGCAGAGCTGAGATTAGAACCCAAGCAGTCTGCCTGCAGGGTCCCCATTTTTAACAGAATATTCTGCTCCTTCCCTCTTGAAGGGTTTCTGATGGATGGACATATCTTCCCCCTCCTTCTAATCCCCACTTCCCTCTAAGATTGCCTTAGACCCAGAGGAAAGAAACAAATAGTCAGACAGAGAAAAAAAAAATGTTAAAGTGAAAAAACCTAAGCTTAAGATTCAGGCTCTATCATTAACTCCCCTTTAGTAAGGCCTGTTAGTCTCTCTGAATCTGTCTCTCATCTAAAAAGAATACTTTGTCCAACCAACCTCATAAGGGTACCATAAAAATTATACTACAGATAATATGCTAAAGCAACATAAAGCATTTATTCAGTCAAAAAGCATTTTTCTGAGGACTCATTCTGTACCAGGTACCATGTGCAAGGTATTGGGAGAATTAGTGAACTCTGGAGAGATAGGCCCTGCCCTCCTGACACCTCCAATCTAGAGATGAAGCACTTTATAAGCAAGCAGACAAACAAAAGCTTCAAATCCACACTTTTCAGAAATCAGTGATACATAACTACTTGGTAAAAATAAACATGTTTTCCCTTCTTGCTAGGTATAAAATGTGGAGGTACAAAGTATGTTGCTGCTGATCCCTAGAGCCATCTCCTGCAGTCCTAACACCACAAGTCAAAACTAAGCCAAAGGCTGGTCACAGTGGCTCACACCTATAATCTCAGCACTTTGGGAGGCTGAGGCAGGTGGATCACCTGAGGTCAGGAGTTCGACACCAACCTGACCAACACAGTGAAACCCTGTCTCTACTAAAAGTACAAAATTAGCCGGGTGTGGTGGCATGAGCCTGCAATCCTCCTACTTGGGAAAGTGAGACAGGAGAATCACTTGAACTGGGTGGCAGAGGTTGCAATGAGCTGAGATCGTGCCACTGCACTCCAGCCTGGGCAACAGAGCCGAGACTCCATCTCAAAATAAAAAATAAAAAATCTAAGCCCAAGACAGGAGCATCAAGCTCTCAGATTTAGAAACTAATGCCACCTAATATGCCACCTTTGGATTTTCTCTAAACATAAGCTTCTTCAACACTAAAACTTAACAAGCTAGGGATAACATACTAGGCACAAGAGTTTCAAGTGACTGTGACTAAAGTCTAAAATGGAAATGAAATTTCTACCACAAGTTTAAGTCTTCTTTTGAAATTTATTTCAAGGGCACTTGAAAACTTTCCTAACCACTCTTGATACAGATTCATTCCTGAGAATATTTTTCACTTCAAAACAGAGAACATCTACACAAGTGGAAATTCTCTCATGGTAACAATAATGTGAGTATCTCATAGGATAAAAATATAACTCCAAGAATTTTTCTGCAAAATCTATAACTAAGTGATGAATTTAATAAGAAGAATGATCATGAGAAAATTCAAATCATAGTAAAATAAATCAAACCATAAATATTCTTAGTGCCTATATCTGTCTATCAGCAGAGAAAAAAGCTCTTGAAAAAATACAAAGTGCTGGCCAGGCATGCTGGCTCACACCTGTAATCCCAGCACTTTGGGAGGCCAAGGCAGGTGGATCACTTGAGTACAGGAGTTTGAGACCATCCTGGCAAACACGGCAAAACCTCATCTCTACTAAAAATACAAAAATTTAGCTGAGCATGGTGGTACATGCCTGTAATCCCAGCCACCTGGGTGGCTGAGGCATGAGAATCAGTTGAACCTAGGAGGCGGAGGTTGCAATGAGCCAAGATTGTGCCACTGCGCTCCAGTCTGGGTGACAGAGTAAGGCTCTCTCAAAAAAACAAGGTGGTAGAGAATAAACAACATAGTAGATAATCATAATGTTTTACACATAATTTCAATGCATTTTACAAGCATCAAGAAAAATATTACGCTTTGAAGTTCTACAGCTAGTTAGAAATTAGCTAATTATTAGCAAGAAAAATAAAGAGAAATGAAGCAGGACCTACTTCTTCACAGTGCCAAGATCTGAGAGGAGTGCTGGGTTAATTACCTTGTGCTTTTCTTTCATTGCTTTATGTTCTTAATTATCTTTTATCGAACTCTCTATTACAAGTAGGTTAACATGGTCATTCACCCCAGTGGAATATCTGGATCCAGACTTAGTTTTCTGCCCAATGCAATCTACTTACCCAATTCTCTCACCTAAATCATTTTCTACTCCCCATCCCAACTTCCCCAGGAAATGGATGGATGCTCCCTTCCTATGAATAATCCTCAAGAACTGCAGCATTACAAACGACTTTCTTGACAATTCCTGTCTTACCTTAACTTTATTTCCCCCTTTTTCCTACTCTCTGCAGGCCTCCTTTCCACATTTGACAGTACTGGTACTCAAACACTCCACAAAATCAAATAAAAAATAACTCAGGCAGAAGAATCTATGGAAGACCATTTGCCCGGTGAGTCAGAAGACCAGCACTTTACTTCCAATTCTGGCACTGAATTCACTTGGTAATTTAAACAAGTTACTTAGAACACAGAGCTGAAAGGGACCTTAATCCTATTAAAGAAAAAAAAAAATCCTAAGGTGCCTCCTATATGCTGCTCTCTGTACTAGACTAAGCCCTCCGTAGCTCACCATCTCAGGAGACAAGAGCACAGACACAGATACACCACACTCCCATGGAGGAATACTCCTTAGAGATCATTTATACATCCCTATTTACAGATGAGATTTTCTCTGTCACAATAAACCAGAATCGGGAAGATACAAAAAGTATCTTCTATCTTTGAAGATACAAAGTCAACGAGTTTTATTTATTTGTATATTTTTAGAAACAGGGTCTTGCTCTGTCACCTAGGCTGGAGTGCAGTGGCACAATTATAGCTCATTGTAGTCTCAAACTACTGGGCTCAAGCAATTCTTTTGTCTCAGCTTCCCGAGCAGTTGGGACTACAGGAACGGCCCATCACACCCAGCTAATTAAAAACAAAATTTTTAGAGACTGCATCTCACTATATTGCCCAGGCTGATCTTCAACCCCTTGCCACAAGTGGTCCTCCTGCCTTGACCTCCCAAAGTGCTGGAATTACAGGTGTGAGTCACTGCACCCAGCTCAAAGAGTTTTGAAAGTATTACAGGTTCACTGTTGTATTACTGTCTTTATGTGATAGATGAGACAATTTTAAATTCCAGTTTAGAAGCAAGGAATGGATTCATTCAGCCACTCATTTATCACTTAAAAAAAAAAAAGTCTAGATTCAGGCACTGTGCTAGGGAGGTGCTG